GTCGTCAGCGGAAAGTGGGAAAGGGACACACCAACGCCCCCAGAGTTCCTAATGTGAGCGTTTTCTTCTTCGGCGTTTCGACATTGGGCGGAAAGGGGGGGGGAAGGGGGGTCTGGCTGCGGACCTTTGCTTAACGCGACTGTTTGCAACAGTGCGTCCTGCGGGGGAGACTCCACCTGCTTGAGACAGGCGCCAAAAAAACATCCAAGATCTACTGCATGGGGGGTGGGGAGGGGGTGTGCGAGGGCCCGCGCCGATCGGCAAAACAGTGAATAAAAAAACGACGACAATGATACTCGCCGCTGAGGAGGGACCAACATCTCCTGCAGAAGCTGGGCACCCCTGCAGCCCCCACAGGCCCTCCCCCCCAGGACTCCCGGAGGCGCGCGGAGACGCCTTGAGTAGGGCTGGGGGGTCAGGTCTGCAGAACACCCCAAACGGACGTCAAGGGGCGCAGTCAACCTGTTCGGTCAAGCTGAAATTGATGCACCACACACGGCGCCAAGCCAAAACTTTGGACATAAGCGAACGGTTGGACTTTGCACATCTTCGTCGGCTGAACCGGCGAGACGTTTGACCACCTTGGCGTCCCTGTTCTGGTGGCCCTGCAGAGAAAGGCACTCTCTGACCCTCGGTCCTACTCGAGAGACGCCCCGAGTCCCGAGCCTCCTCATTCCTCGACCCCCCCTCGGAAGCTGGGCGAAGGCTGGCAAGTCCGTGGCTACTAAAACGGTCTTCCCGGGAAAACGCAACATTCCCGGAATAAACCTCAGCGCGCTAAATACTAAACGGGCTGCTTCTGGGAAGAACAAACGACTTCCCGGAGCTTTGTTTTAGCAGCCACGGGTTTGCCAGCCTTCGCCTGGCTTCTGACCCCCCCCCCCATCCTCAGGGATGTGACGGCGGGCGCACGGGAGTGCCGCGAGGCGGGCGGCCTGATCGAAGAGGGCGCGGGTGCTTCCGAGGAGACTGGTGGCCTCGCAGAAGCCCCGCCTGGCTTCGACGAAGCCTTCCTGGTGAAGCATCCCGTCGACGAAGAAAAGCAACGTATGGACATAACCTCTCGGAGCTCCGAGCCAATGTCTTGGATCGGCGCTGGGCCTCCTCCCCTGGCGCGCGGAGCGCGCCAGGGGCAGCACGGGAGGCACCACCAGGGAGCCCTTAGGGCAGATCCGAGAGAGCTCCACGGGGAGTTGCGAAAGTCTGTGCTCATGGAGTCCTTCTTTCTCTAGCCCAGGCGGTCTCGACAAGGCCCCGCCTGTTTGGAAGCCTCCCGTCTTCGTAGCAGGCCGCCCCCCCCTCACGCCACCCCCATCTCGCCTCGAGTTCTCGATCCTCGATTTCCCAAACCCGCGATACTCGATTTCCAAAAAGATGTGGCGACCCTCAGTCCTCGATTTCCAAGAAAGGATGTGGCAACCCCCCTGGTCGTGACCCCCTGGCGCTGCCCGATCCTGGAGAAAAGATCCACGAGACGACCGAAAACGTCGACCGTCGATCCCCTCTCCTCCTTGATCCCCGATTCCCGACAGGAGGCTCCTCCTCGATCCTCGATCCTCGACCCTCGATCCTCGACCTCCTCTCCTCCTCGATCCTCGATTCCCATAAGGAGACGACCAAAATCCTCGACCCTCAACCTCCTCTCCTCCCCGATCCTCGATCTCCTCTCATCCTCGATCCCCGATTCCCGACAGGAGGCTCCGATGCAGTCAGCCAGCCTCCGAACCCACGGAGAAGGGGGGGGGGGCGAGGAGGAGGACAAGGAGAGGGAGGAGGCGGAGGACCGAGACGAGGAGGTGGAAGGGGAGGGGGGAGGAAGAAGAAGAGGAGGAACACCGATCACGAAACGATCCGCGAACCGATGCCAAAGCTACCCCCGGAACGTCCAGAACCTCCTCGGTACTCGATCCTCCGTCGCCCTCAGTCCTCGAGCCCCAAAGGGGGAGAATCAAGACCCCCCTTCCTGAGCAGGGACCGACCGTCCCGGCATTCCTAGAGGCCCATCACGACATGTTCTTCGAACCCCACAAATTCTCTTATAATGAAACAAAGTTCTTAGAGCACAAGCCCGAGGTGTTGAAACAAGACGGCCTCAGATGTTCGATGAACATTTCGTACAGGCCGCAAGAAGTTCTTAGAACCTTTTTCGGTGGGCCTATTGTTGGAGGCCTGGAAATGGGCACCAACACCAACACAGGGGTTTGCCTCCACAAGGGAAAGATGATCTGAGACTTCGGCGTTGGTGGTAACATTCCGGTCACCTTGGAAGCCAGAATATGACCACCATCACCGAGATCGGGATCTTCTCCCCTCGGTGGAGGCTCACCGCCGATATTGGTGTTGGTGTCAACCTCTAGGCCTGTAGGCAAGCCGGGACGCTTCGCCCCTGCTCGGCTTTGGCACCGCCCGACTTCCTCCAGCCGGGGCAGCCAGCCGGCGGCGCGCAGAGGCGCTCCCCGCGGGGGGGCAGGTCGCCGCCGCCTAGGAAGGCCGCCGCCTCCTCGCAGCAGCAGGGAGTCGGGGCGCGCGCCTCCCTCTCCCCCTCCTCCTCCTCCTCCTCCTCCTCCTCCTCCTCCTCCTCTTATTTTTCTTCTTCTTATTGTTATTATGCTTATTATGATTATTATTAGTATTATTATTATTATTAATATTATTCTTATTATTCTTCTTCTTCTTATTATTATTAGTAGTATTATTATTACTAATAGTACTAGTCTTATTATTATTCTTAGTACTCATATTATTCTTATGACTCTTATTATTCGTATTACTATTATCATTATTATTATCATTATTAATATTATTACTACTACTATTATTATTGTTATTATTATTATTCTCAGTATTATTATCATTAGTATTATTATTGCTATTATTATTCTCATTAGTATTATTATTGTTGTTATTATTATTAATATTATTAGTAGTATTAGTATTACTATTAGTAGTAGTAGTAGTAGTAGTAGTAGTAGTAGTAGTAGTAGTAGTGGTAGTAGTAGTAGTAGTAGTAGTAGTAGTAGTAGTAGTAGTAGTAGTAGTAGTAGTAGTAATATTATTATTATTATTCTTCTTTTTCTTCCTCCTCCTCCTCCTCCTCCTCCTCTTCCTCCTCCCCCTATCCCAGGCTTCGTAAGGGCTTCGAGTGGACCAACAACCTTGGGCCCAACCCAGGGATCTACGAGGGGGGGAGGGGGGGCATCCAGCCTCGATGGGGGGGGGCGTCCGACTAGTCCTCCCAGGGGGTGTATTCCAGGCCCCCCCTCCTCTTCTCAGCTGCTTCCCTTCTCGTCGCGAAAACCAAGGGGGCGGGGACAGAAACGTCGCCTGCGAGGCAGGGCGTCGAGGCGCGCGCACGCCTGGCAAGAGAGGAGGCCCAGAGCCACCGCGCTCCGCGCCTCACGCCACGCGGGGCGCGACGCCAGGCTCTCTCTCCGCGCCCTCGCGGGACCGCGTGGGAGCGGGGCAGCTCTTCGGCCCGGGCCTTAGGTCGGGCATGTCCCCCTACCGGCGGGTCCTGGACGAAAGCTGCAAAAAACACCAAAAACATTCAAACATTGACAAACATAGTCGAAACATCGTCCCCTGGCTATTCCTTGACAGTTCTCGAATACTGTATTCCTCCTGCCCGGCTTAACCGTAGCCGCGACGCGCGAAGCACGATCCTCTTCGCGCCCCTGGAGTGACGGGTCCTGGACAAAAAACGGGCCCTGGGCCCAGACAGCCGGCGTCTCGAAGACATCTGGAAGCAAATGTTTGTTTGTGTTCTTCGCTTGCATCTTCGGACTTTGGGCGCCCTCGCGGGGCCCTGGGACCCTAAACAGAAACGAACAAACAACAACTCCATAAACATACGCTCCTACTTCAAAGGCGTGGCCTCCTCAGGTGTTGCGGAGACGGGCGACAGCACTTGGGATCCAGGCGCATTTTTTACATCGACCCTGAGCTGCAAGCGCCGTGGGACCCACGGATGGTTCTCAACAGAGGTCGGCCAGTGGTCAGACTGTGCAATAAAAACCTCTACAGAAGTCACACATCACAAAACTCGTGGTGCGTTGGGGAGGCGGGCGGGAGCTTGAAGCCAAGATGTCACCGCATGAATGAGATCGTGGCAGGACGAAGCGACGATCGGAAACATTCGAGGCCACTCGGTTGCAGGAAAACAAGTCAAAGACAATTCATTCCTACTTCAAATGCGCGGCCTCCCCAGCCCAGGGGTTGCGGAGACGGGCGACAGCACTTGGGATTCAGGCACATGTTTTACATCGACCCTGAGCTTCAAGCGCCGTGGCATCCACGGATGGTTCTCAACATAGGTCGGCCAGTGGCCGGACTGTGCACTAAAAGCCTCTACAGAAGTCACACATCACAAAACTTGCGTCCCATCCCCATATGCAAATGCCCTAGGGAGGGCGGGCGGGGAAGAACAACGCTGCAGCGACAGAGCCGAGCGTGGCACAACAGTACTGTGTGCGCGGTGAAGACTACGCGCACACACGTCGAAGCATATCGCGAGCAGAGCACGGCTTTGAGTGAAAAGACGGGCGCGCGCGATGTGCTCAGAGGTGAGCTCGAGCACCGGCGCAACGCAGAGCCGCGCTTCACGCGCGCCAGCGGCCTCTCTGCTGGATGGCCCTGAGGGGCCGCGCATTGCCCACGGCGTCGCGCGAGAGCCCTCCGTGGCGCAGCTGGTGAGGTACGAACAGGAGCTCGCCAACGCTTGCACAGATGGCTGCAGCTTTAGCTTCTTCCCATACTGAGGCAAAGAAAGAGGGTGACAAAGGAAGGGTAGAGAGTGACGGCAAGCACGGTTTCTCGAGCTCAGCAAAATCTCGGGGACGATCCTGCGGAGCGGGAATGCTGTGCAGTCAAAGTCTCTGTCCACAGAAAGTACGTATCGGACTGGACTCAAGCGCCGAACGCCACCAGCGGGTCGGCGCTTGACTCGTTGCCGAGCGTCGAGCACGCGAGCGTCAGCGCCTCGGATGGAGCGCCATTCTTCACGCGTGCTGCGGTTCGCCCAAGAAGAACAGATCTTCGAAGTAGAGGTTGAAAGATTCGTCTGGCGATTCAGGCGTGTCGAGCAAGAGCCCCGGCCGCTCGGCATACTCGGTGAGCTCGACGAATGCGGAGCGGTAGCTGGACAGCGTGGCAAGACGCAGGCTCGCCTGGCGCAGGTAATCGCCCGGCGCCGCGACGCGCCGGCCGGCGGCCCCTCGCGGGCAGCAGCCTCCCCCCGTCGCCGCGGGCCGACACGACCAGAAGGCGGGGTGGGGCACCCGAGCCTGCCCCGCGCAGCGGCCCGCGCGGCTCTGCTCGCCGCGGCGTGCCCACCTCCAGCGCCCCTCGCGTCGGCAGCCCGCGGCCGCTGTTCGACGAGCGTCGCCCCCGCGCAGCCGCGCGGCCACCGCTGGCGGCAGCGGCAGGGATAACGGCAACGGAGCGCGATGCCGATCGAGCGGCGCCGCGCGCCCACCTAGGCGTCCAGAGCGAGCTGGGCGGCGCCTCATCGGCCCCTCGGGCGCGGGTCGAGCGCCGCGGGCCAAGCTGGCCGCCAGGAGTGCCGAAAGCGCTGCGGGCAAACCGGCGCCGAGACGCCTCTGGGCTCTGCAACTCCTGCCGCACTCGCCAGCGCGTGAGCCCTGAACTGGAGGTCCTCTCGAGCTGCTCGGCCGGAGGCGCTTCGCGGGGCGTCGGGCCCTGCGAGCGCGGCGAGCAGTCTGCGCCAGTTCGGCAGGTCTATGCCCGCCAGCGTGGTCCGCCACGCCCAGTCGCGCGCAGGGTGCCTGACCTTGCCCTGCAGCTCGACTCGACGCCGATCCGCGCAGCAGCAGCGCAGCGCGAGCCCCCCGAGACCTGGGGGGCCCCCAGCGATCGCACCTGGCTTCGCGAAAGGCGCGGCGAACCGACGGGAGTCGAAGCGCACCCTCGGCCAGGCCAGCAGCCGCAGCTCGCCGGCCATCGCCGGCCAGCGCCGCGCTCGGCTGGCAGGGGGGTTCCCGAACGACACGAAGACGCCCAGGGGGCAACGCAATCGAATGACGCGCACGGAGAAGGCCAAAAAGGACTTGTCCGCTAGCAAGGGCCCCCGATCGCCTCCGACGGGGGCCCGCCGCGCGCAAGGCAGGCCCAGATGAATCCACCAAAAGAGCTCGCCAGACTTGAGCCAATGAAGCACCGGACGCTGAACCTCACGGTTTGCGAGGTCACGCTGGGGCCCGCATTTGGAGCCCATGGGAGCCGTGACCCGAAAGCCACGCTCATGGAGAGCTCCAGCAAGGATGGCTGTCCCCGCGAAGAGCCCCTTGAAGGCCCTGCGTCACGCCCAAGACCTCCACGGGGGCCATGACTGTGCCCAGGAACCCCACGCGGTGCAGGACCTCCTGCGGGCCCCTCGCGCAGGCCGCCACCCCGCCCAAGATTCCCCAGCGGGCGCTGTCGAGGGCCCGCGGGCGGTTGAGGAACTTTAACTTCAACGAAAAGGCCTCTAGGATCTTCAGAAAGTTCATCGCCTCCAGGGGCCCGCTGAACCCCGTCGCGTCGGCAATGTCTGGGTCGTCCGTGATCGCGTGCCCTGTGGTGCTCAGTGTGTAGCTCGTCGTCGTCCTGAATCCGAACGTCTCAAACTGGCCGACGCCGATCTCCCTCACAATCAGGCAAAGGGGAAGACGTGAGATGATGTCCAAAAAGAAGCTAGGGGCGCATGGGTAGAAATGCACTTGTAGCTTGCTGGCCGCATGAGGTCGGCCACGCCCCCTTGGATCTGAAGCCGTCTTTGGGCGTCGGGCCGCGCCGCCAGCTCGGGGCGGCCGCGCTGGGTCGGCGCCGCGAGAGCCCCTCGCCCTCGATAGCGCTCTGCCCGCGGCTCACCTCGGTCAGCAGCTCGGCCCCCGTGATCTGCGACGTTGTAGATGCCAGGAACGCGCCGAGGGCGCCAGCGAATCTCGCGCCCGAGCACTGCGCCAGAACCTCAAAGCGAGGACCGACGACATGCTTTCGCACAGACTGAGGATCTCCTTGCCATGGAAGGCAACCTCGGAGGCGGCCCTTCAAAGCGGCGCGACCGCGGCGCGGGCCTCAAGGGCGTGGATCCGCCCCGGGCGCCGCCATGCCCCCCTCCGCCGCTCGGTCCACCGGGCAGGATCCAGCAGCGCCTCCGCCAGCGGCTCGGGCGGCGCCCCGATCTCCAGCTCCACGCGCCGCCGCTTCGCAACAACATGGCGCAGCTTCGGCGGGGTCCGCAGCGGCAGCGGCTCCGACTGGTCAGCAAAGTCCGCGGCGCGGCCCTCGTAGAGCTCGTCGTTGGGCGCAACCTCCGCCTCGGCGGCGACGAAGCGCTGCCGCTCGCGCCACCGGGCGGTAGCCAGCACCTCCCAGGGCTCCGGCCTCGCCTCGCGCGCCGCGTAGCCCTGCAGCGAGCTGTCGGTGGTGAAGGCGACGTCCGACTTCTGGCGGTGCTCGTCCGAGGTAGTCGGGCCACGGGCGCCAGCTCGCCGCGGCCGA